TTAAAGTGACATTAAACCCTCAGATTTTTTAACATAAACCAATACTGTAATGTGTGCCTTACTGTAATCCATGGTAGTTTCCCTTCTCTTTGCTGCTCTGCCTTTTAAATCCTCATGTCTTCTCATGCTTGGGGAGAACTTCCCTTTGCAGCTGAGTGCCTCTTCCTGTAGTAGTGGCTCAGGTTGCAAACGTACACACAGACACCATGTATCCATTTCAGAGACAAGGCAGTCTGCTGCAAAACAGAAGTTCTGCCCAGCATGAGAACAGATACAGATTTAAAAGGAAGAGCAGCAAAGAGAAGGGAAACTACCATGGATTACAGTAAGGCACACATTACAGTATTGTTTTATGTTAAAAAATCTGAGGGTTTAATGTCACTTTAAGTTTGCTGTCATGGTGGTGTGTTTGGAACAAGAATCATTGAGCCAGGCAACTTTTTCCAGCCTCCAAGAATTGCATTGTATATTCTATGGTTGTGCTCAAATTTTGTATTTTTGTGACATAATTTATTTTCCTTTGGACTGAACCACCTTGTGTCTCCTACATTCATCCACTGCCCATATAGCTGACACTTTAAAGCAGTGTTTTGTTTTTGTCCATTTATTATCCCAATACTGCTTTCATCTTGGTGAACCCTAAACCCATAGTCTTGGCACAGATAGGCAGTGATACTTTTTTTTTTTTTTTTTGCATAGTCTGTTGGCTCACGGGAAAAAAAATTCTCAGTACACTTTTCCCCACCAAGAGATTACAGAGTTAGAATATGGGTTCTCAATACTGCCTGATTGTAGGATGGCAGTTGATGGGCCAAATGTCAGTTTTAATTTACTTATTTTTAACTGAAGTAATGGTTTAAATGTGAATAACAAATCAAATACAATACAAATGTAATGAGCTGAATGAAACTTCCCTGCTTTAATAGGAGCCTTAGGCTGGTCATATACATATATATCTATAGATAGATAGATATATCTATCTATAGATAGATCTATAGATAGATAAATATATATAGATATATATCGATATATATATCTATCTATAGATAGATATATATATATTTTCAACCTTGCGTGCTGAGCGGAAAATGTTGATCGAGGAATCCCGCTGTTTACGTTATATTCTGACAGGTGCTGCCGGCACCTGTCAGAATACCCGATCACAGCGGGCAGCTCAATGCTGCCAGCTCTGATCGATCAAAATTTTCCAGCAGGCTCCTTCGATCAGCTGATTTGAGGAATGTTGGCTGAAAGGGAGACAACAGCCCCACACACTGTGCAAATTCCGTCCGGTACATTAAAAACCGGGGCACCTTTTACTCTGGGCTGTCCATTTTAAAATAACTCTGGACCAGAAAACTCAAGTGCCCAAATTGTTTCGCCAAGCTGTTTCATTCCAGTGCTTTGCATAAAGGAATTTGTATGGTTTTGGAATGCTGGTTGGAAGTTGATCACTTCAGCTACATTTATAAAGTGGCTTAGCTTGACTGGAAAACAGGTTTCTGTGTGGTTTTGTGGTCGCAGCAGAGATGGTAAAAAAAAAAAAAATCTCAATGAATTGTCAATGTGCATGTTGTCCTAATCCTGTGGTTTCTGTCCTTTTTAGGTGGATCATGCCAAAGTTCTGCACTACATAGGAGCCGGGGTTGCCTTCCCAACCAGTATGCTGTTCATTTTCTTTCAATCTATCCTGACATACCGCATGGCACACACTTACTGGAACTGGTGGGCTGGACATGTACGCTGTCTTCTTACGTTGTTTGGGCTGGTCATTTTAGTGCTCAGTATCCTTTTATATTCGGCCAATAACCCTGTCATATACTATTCCTTGCAAAATATTGAGAGGAACAGAAATGTTCAGTTTTTACTGTATATTTCAGAACAATGCTTAATGAAAAAGTATGAGTGTAGATTTTGAGTAGTTATTGCAGTTTTTCCCTTTTGATGTGACTTTTTCTCTTTCTTATTTTTGTTATTGCATTACATTTGAATATTTGCAAATAAGCAAACTAAAGGGATGTCTACATTAAACTTATGCTGGGCACACACCTTACAACCATCGCAAGATGGTTGTAAGGTAATTAAAAAAACTTACGAGCTGCCTATCTTGGACAGGCAGATCGTACTTGCGATGATCGCAAGCCCGCCCCGCTTAGGGGCGGGCTTACGGTTACCGCAATGCCGAACGGGCAGTGTGCGCTTGCGCACACCGGCCCGTCCGGCTTTTACCTTACGAACATGCTACACACCTGCCGAAAATCGTACGATTCTCGGCGGGTTTTCGAACATGTTCGTAAGATAAAAGTTGTGCGACCTTACAGTAGTAGAGGTCGCACGGCTTCCACACACCTTACGATAATCGTACGATTGCGGTATTTCCCACGATTATCGTACGATTATCGCAAAGTGTGTGGGCACCTTTTAGCTTAATACTCTTTGCATAAAGCAAATCTGTCTTTTGCTCCGCTGCCGCTCTGCCACTGGGCGGAAAGAAAGCACTGTCGTATGAAGGCGCTGACACAGCCCTGTGCAAACTCCAGCTAGAGTGATTCAAACCTTATGTAGGACTTGCTTTCCTCGCTTACAAGAGATCATAAGGAAGGGTAAGTATAGGATGCTAAGGGGCAGCATTAAAGAAAACCAGTTGCCTTGCCATGGATAAGCAAACCACAACTTAGAGTATATCAAGGAAAAATATGTAGTATATCATATTTATCCAGCGTTCCGATTTATTTCACAAAGAATGTTTTCCTGTAACATCTGTTCTCCATGTTGCCGGCATACGAGATTGGAGGACATTACCATTCATCTGTGCCCGTTTCCCAGACAACTTGTACATCAACAGGCGTCTCTTTATAAGTGGCTGAGAAAATGATTAAACTAAGTTTAAACATAACGGAGCATACTGCACTTAGTTGGTTTATGTAGTCTCCTAGAAAGCAGGTTGTGAATTAACTGTTGCACGCTTCTGAGAAACAGCAGGTCATTTTAGATGTGCCACAATTCTCATGATTTGTTCTTAGGATTTGGATAGAGTTTGAGGTATGTACAGTGCCATACCCCTCCTTTGCGCTGGCATCAGAGAAATCATTTGGAAGAAATATTTTCCCAGATGTGTGACAATACATATGTCTCTGACTACCTTAGAAAGTTAGCAACTGCTACAGGGCATTCTCAGGACTATGTCAGTCTAATTGGATATTCATGGCCATTCTCATTCACACCAGATGCTTTGGGGCTGCGCTGGCTGTTTTTCCCAGCGCAGCCCCAATGCAAAACAAGGCAACTTGCCTTAAGCTGGCCATACACCTATAGAGTATCTGCAGATTTTCTATGGTCAGATGGAAAAAGTGCAACAGATTTCTCCATCTACAATAAACTGTGTGGATGGAGGAATCTCACACTGGGCCAAGCTTCAGTATCTTCTTTGTCCGCCCAGCTGGCTGTCAAAACACCTGAACAGTGCCTGCATTCAATCAGATTGTTCAGGTATTTTGAGAGCCAGCGGGGCCGACTAGCAGGATACTGAAGCCTGGCCCAGTGGGAGATTCCTCTATCCACACAGTTTAGCGTAGATGAATGAATCTTTTGCACTTTTTCTGCAGATTTTCTATGGTCAGATGGAAAATCTATAGGTGTATGGCCAGCTTTATTTTAGATGGGCTCAGTTCACACCAACGCATTGCCGTGATGTGTGCTGAAAAAAAAGTGCAGTACTTTTTTTTTCGGTGCATAGGGGGCTGACACGGTACAGCTGCCTCACACCATGCTGTGCCCATAGAACTTAATGAAATGTCACTTCAATTCAGGTCCAACACAAAAACAGAAAGGTTAACTGCGTGATGCTCCTGCACTGTGCAAGGCAATGCACACCAGCAGCTGTGCGTTGTAGTGCAGGTGCTGATGTGACTGTGCAGATCATGCACACTAAACTTATTTTAGATATTTTTAACCGGCAGTAAAACAAGCCCTTAGGCCCCATTCACACCAGATGCGTTGCCATGTGTTTTTCAACGGACAACAAGGATATCTGAAAATGAGTGAGAGCAGTTCTCATCAGTGCGCTGTGTTCATGTGAGCTGCCCTGTGTTGAAAAAAAAATAAAAAGTAGAGCAGACCCGATACCTTTTTATAGCTTAATGCAAAAATCAAACAACCCCCCCAAATGTAACACAATGCATGTGAACGTACTATGCCAACGCTAGTGAACTTGCATTAAGACACATCTAGCACACACATTGCGATGTGACTGCGCCTTTTTTTAAATCTCTGTAGCTGTAAGCTTCGTTATGAAGTCAGTCTCAGCTTTTTTCTATGAGAATAGAATCTTGGCAGGCTGACAGTCTTCTAATGTAAATGTAGACATGTTGCATTCTTACCCCAGTGCACAGGGTGCCACTGCAGGTCACCGTATGAAAGCAAAGAGCACCATGTTGCTGTGCAGGGACCTGAATGGAGTGTACATCTTGTACACTACCAATAAAATAAAAAATGTAAACAGTAACATCTCCGGTAGTGTGCAATACAGTGCTGGAGCTACCACAATGCATAAGCCCACCCTCTAAAAGGGAGTGTTTTAGCAGATGGGCTAGTGTGAACAGCCCTAAAAGCAGCTAGAAGGATGGCCTTATGTTAAAGCTCTTTTACAGCTTCTTCAGAATATGTAAGTAGTTTAACCCTTTCACTGTTACCTTTCGCGGCCATCTGTCCCCATGTACACTCACTCCTGGCTGCTTACACGTGTGTTGGGTGCACCTATGTATAAAAATTGTTGGGTATCACCGTACATGCTGGAGCGAGAGCTATAATTCTGTAATTCTTAAATGTCTGTTAGGCCCCGTTCACACCTTTCCGTTTTGTCGGGCGTTCAACGCTCTATGAACGCTCTACAAAACGTACAACCATGAAAATCCCATTGTTTTCTATGGGTATGGTTCACACCTTTCCGTATTTCCGCCCGTCTGAACGCCCTACAAAACGGCTGACGCCCTAACAAGTACATGTACTTCTTTGGGCCGTTTTGGAGGGCGTTTTCCATTGGGATACAGCCAAGAAGCCTTCGGAATCGCGCGACGGTCACACGATTTTTTTACCGCGAGTCGCGCGACAGACGTGCATGCGTAATACGCCTAGGTGTGAACCCAGCCTAAGAGTTTTAGCAGGTTCAGGAACACTTTATTATTATTGTAGAAGCATGTTTTGTTTTAAATGGGAAAGAAAAAAAATTCTGCAAGTCAGTTTGAGCATAATGTGGTTTTCATTTGAACTTCTAAAGAAAACCTTGTATAACATTCACTAAAAGCATTCAGTAATGAAAAGCTACTGAATGTATCCACTTGTTCATAAAAGGTAAGTACATGCACACCTAATAGTTTGTTTGCCAATGCTGGTGGGCTAAATAACCCATTTTTAAATTTTCCCTTATGGGAATGACCGCTCTCCTTATTGTCATTCCACGCTCTTTGCTTTCCCCGAAGTCTCACTCCTGGAGGACTGTTGCTTCACTTTAGTCTTTCTTTATGTAAAACAAAAGTTAGTCTTAAAAGGGAGACATACTCATTCTTGTTTAGCTTTTTTCCCTCAGGGATCGGTTCATTCAGCCCAATGCCAGTCTAATGAAAGTTTTCAGCTGGTGTGCAAGGAATAGAAATATAAGGAAGATGACACAAATTGCACAATGTAAAAATAATCCAATTTAGTTTTTAGATAAATGATACACTCCCTGAAATAGGCACCCGGATTATGCAACAACAGATCCTATATTAGTAAAACCTTATATAAAGGGCAGTAAGAAGGTTCAGACTGGTAACTTCTGCCAAATCTGATTGGCACCGCCATCTGTTTTACAGATTGAATTGCATTACAGCGGCTGCATTTTATTGAAGTGTTTTATCTAACTAGAACTTTATTTTAGAAATTCACAAAAACAAAAAAAAATCCAAATAAATGGCTAAACATGTTTGCTTTAAAATGTAATATGGTTAAAAAATAACCACAAATAACATTTGCTGCCTTAGCCAGAGTAGATCACACATCTGCAATTGCCTCATCTCAGAGAAAATGTTAATGTCTTTTTAATTTGGTTAGTCTCCAACACTTTGTGCATTTATTGGTACTTTCTAAAGAGAACCTTGTGCTTTATTGCATGTTTGTACTTTTTCTGTCTGTTTTCATAGGCATCTCAACCTGTGTGCAGTCTGTTGTAGGTCTGCTGACTTTAAGTGACACAAAACCCAGGAAATAAATCTTAAAAATGCATTCAAGTACCATAACTGTTAACAAAAATTGTACCTTATTTGTGCATCACTCAGCTGTAGATCCTCTGGAGGGTGGCTACTATTCCCTGTTTGTGTTGTAAAGTAGCCACCGCTCCAAGCTCGCTCCCATGATGGATTACAATCTCACATTAGCTAATTTGTATTGAAATTATAGAATGTTTTTTTAAAGATTTTAAGGCTTAGTTTAGTGTCACTTTAACCACTTCCGGGCCGCAATACGTCTATAGACGGCGGCCCGCAGAAGTGGTTAAAACAAGAACAGGGCTGCTGCAGCAGCCGTGTTCTTGGTACCGCTTTCAACAGCAGAAGTTTGCTGTTAAAGTACTAGTGATCCGGCGTCTATACAGCCGCCGGATCGTTTGTACCGTGCGGCAATAAGAGTTCCTATATTTGAGTTTCTGTTGTGGTCATTTCTACAATTTTGTTTCACCTGACTTTGTATTTTTTAACCCATTTTTTCTTAATTAGGTCAAAAGTCCTAGACTTTTCCTTAACGTCTCTCCTTCAGGTGGTGTCTTCTTCATCCAGGAAGGCTTTGTGCTGCAACACTTGGCTGCTCTCTTTGAGTGGACCTTTATAATAAATGTTCTTGTCTACTATGGAACGTTTTCCTTTGAATTTGGGGCAATCACCACGGACACATTCCTGGTGCTCCTCAAAGCAAGCAGGGCCCCAAAGAGTTATAAGTCAGGAACCAGCACTCCAGCCACACCTCATGCTCACAGCACCTCTGAGAACTTGGCTATGATATGACTGTACCAGAGTGCTAACACAGACATCACATGCGAATCCCTGAGCCGCTTTACGATTCTAAACAACATGAAAACGTTTCACTGTGCAATGCAGGCTCAATATAATAGAGGGCTGATCACGTGACCAAAAAAACTTCTTTTTTTTAAAGATTAAGAAGAAAAAAGTTGATTACTTTTTATGTTGACTGTTATGATGTTGGTAAAAAAAAGTCTAAGATACATTATATGTACAGGGCATTAATGAATTAGCCATAAAATTGTATATTTTTATATAGTGCATTTCTATAGTAAAGTCACTACAAAGTATAACTAAGAGGCCAAAGTAATTTAGTGTTAAATACACAATATGCTTGTGACAGTATATCAAAACTATTAAATAAGTGGTGCATTGATAAAGAAAACACAGAGCTTGGTATTAGCAGTTATAGTTGCCTTTCCAAGAATATCACCTAGGGGGCCTTATGAATAGGAACAGGGACTGTGGAGCCCTTGTAGGGAGAAGTGTAGCACATTTGCCTTAATGACTTTGCTGGATTTACATTTCTAGCTGGAAGTCTCTTTAGTACATTTTACAATTTAGTATAACACCATGGGTAAATTATTAAAGAGGACATGTAAAACATTAGCTATTTGAGTAAGTCTTGCTGGGATGCATTAAAAAAGGTGTTGGCAAATAATTGCAATAATTACATTATAGTTCCTATACATCAAAATTCATAGAGAGGAAAAAGTCTACATTCCATTTTATCCAGTCTCTCTAACAACAACATTCACCACCTAGTTGCATCCAGGTACCTGATTATGCTGCTTTTGGGAGGGGCATATAAAGGGTAGTGCTACAATAGGAAGTACATAGTAAATGCACTGCTGCCCTTTATAGAAACAGAGTAGATGTGTGGACAAGTGTGACTCCTCAGTTTAAGCTCATTTAATGGCTGATGCAATGTGCTACAATTAGTCATTTTTCAGAAGGTTTTTTTTATTTTTTGGATAGGGTGTGGAAGGTATATGTCAGGTTTTAATTACTGCCTGTGCACTCATTGAAGTGTTTAGTCATATTTGAAATGTTTCCTGTGTCCACAGAAATAATTTATATCTTTGTTCATTGAGGGACAAAGCATTCAGAGACAATTGGGTAATCTGCCACCTACATGAGAATAATTTTTTTTTTTTAGTAGTGTTCGAGGAGGATTGACATCTTTTCTCTGCTAATAAAAAAGTTAGTATTCACAAGACATATTTTTAACAATTTTATTTTTTACTAAATAAAGCATTTTTGCTTCAATAAATATTTCCGTATACACTGCTTGAGCTGGTCTTTATCCAGTAATGGCCTTGCTGGTTGTACTCAGACCCCACTGGACAATTGCTGGGCAAAACTGGGCTGAGTTTTGCATTGTGGCATTTCCAAACTACTGGAACCCTTCTGATAGCCACAGATAACTTTTTTTTGCTCCAGAGCAGTGGCACAGACTTTGTTCTGTGGGCCGAGCACTGGAAGTTACCAAACTATTAGGACCCTTGGCCACATTTATTCATACCTGTTTTTACAAGGAAAAGTTCAGTTTTAAAGTCTGAGCAATTACACAGTTAAAGGAAGTGTAAGGTGCTCTGCACTCTTGTTCACACCAGCTCAGCATGAAGTAACATCGGCTGGTAATGCTCTTAGTTGCAAATTATACTGGTATCTTCTGAGGTTGATCTTTGCTGTTCATCTACAGTGACCTGGTCATCTCCAGCTGTCTGATACTTTCCTGCTTTCTGCAGAGATAGCCAAGGTTTAACTTTGTACCCTGAGCTACGTTTTTCTTGACTTTCAGCACAATATGCGAGATCCCAGACATATAGGGAGCAATCCCAGAGTAATGGGACCCACCTAGCTCTTGATCCACTTGAGGCTCCAGTGTTGCCTAAATTGCACCTAATGGACTTTGCACTGACAGCCTGGACTGTTGTCCACTGCTTATGTCTCTACATTCCTCAGTTAGTGCCATTCCTTCCTTAGTGCCATCAGGCATGGCTCTTTCCTCAATCCTGTCCTGGGAGCATTTTGCTGCAGTTATGCATGATTTCATGGGACAAATTGCAACCTTGATTGCTAACTCGCACTGCACAGGCCAAAAGTGTACTTTCAAACTTTCCCCTATTTGAGCTGCCTGTGGCCTTTGAGCCTTCTGCTTCAGAGTCTCTGTCTGATGAAGAGTCTCAAAAATCCGTAATGGATGATATTGCCGCTGAGGAGCCTTAACCAGCTGCTATTACTCCCATTCTTAAAAGGATTTTCAGTGCTCATAGGCTCTGTGTGCACTACCTTGACATTGATAGAGCAGCCTGCAGCTTCTACCAGTGCTGATAGCTGTCTAAGGTCTCTTAGAGGCCCTAAGACTGCAAAGAACTTTCCGGTGCACCCATTAGTGCCATCCATCCTTAATGTGAATTTTGATACGCCTGATAAGCTTTTCACTTCTAAACCTTTTGTTTAAGAATCAAATCAATAAGTGGAGATCCCCTTCAAAATCTTGGTTTCTTGGCCCTGCATTTAACTACATTGGTCATGATGCTAGTCTGTCAAATTTTAGGAGACTAGACTAGGCCAGTGATGGCGAACCTTTTTGAGCCTGAGTGCCCAAACCGGATCACGAAAACAACTTCTGTATCTCAAAGTGCCAACCCTCTCAGGTGGTCTGTATGGGTTCTTAGGTGAGCTCACAGGTGGTTGTATGGGCTCTCAGGGGGGCTGTGCAGCTCTCAGGTGTTCTGTATGGACTCTCAGGGGTGTTGTGCTGCTTTTAGGGGGTCTATGTGGGCTCCCAGGGAGGCTCTGCGGCTGTCAGGTGGTCTGTATGAGCCCTCAGGTGGCTTGTGCAGGCCCTCAGACGGCTCTACAGCAGGGGTCTCAAAGTACCGGGCCGCGGACCAACTCCAGCCCGCGAGCCAGTACTATGTGTCCCGCAGCCAGCTGACAAGTCGGTCACGGACCGCGTGCCTGACTTGCGGGAGCAACTACACCGCAATGCTTCTGTCCGCTCCGGCCGGAGCTCTGTCAGTTCTGAGCTCTGGCCGAATGATGGATGATTAGTAAGGTTGCACTAGACCTTACTAATCACCAGGGAATGATGATGTACCTCCTCCCTGCACTGATGCAAGCAGGTGAGGGGGCTTGGAAGGAAAGGAGGGAGTGGCAGTGTATTATATGTGTGCTGGGGGCTTGGGAGGAGGGGGGAAGCCGATAATGTGTGCTGGGAGCTTGGGAGGGGGGGTGTTTATTATGTGTGCTGGGGGCTTGGGAGGAGGGGGGAAGCCGATAATGTGTGCTGGGAGCTTGGGAGGGGGGGTGTTTATTATGTGTGCTGGGGGCTTGGGAGGAGGGGGGAAGCCGATAATGTGTGCTGGGAGCTTGGGAGGGGGGGTGTTTATTATGTGTGCTGGGGGCTTGGGAGGAGGGGGGAAGCCGATAATGTGTGCTGGGAGCTTGGGAGGGGGGGTGTTTATTATGTGTGCTGGGGGCTTGGGAGGAGGGGGGAAGCCGATAATGTGTGCTGGGAGCTTGGGAGGGGGGGTGTTTATTATGTGTGCTGGGGGCTTGGAAGGGAGGGGGAAGTTTATTATATGGGGGGGGGGATTGGAAGGGGGGGGAGTGTATTATGTGTGCGGGGGGGAATGGAATGAGGGGGGGGGGAGTCCCCTATATTTCAGGTGCGATTAGGGATTCCTGTCAGATACCTCAGAAACCTTGTGTCAGTTCTTGTTGTCACTGCGCCTGCGTGGCTTCTCTCCCCGTGGTAATCTACAACTCCCCTCAGTGCGCCTGCGTGGCATCCAACATCTCCAAAGAACGTTACTGGACCTTCGTGCCCATCAGTCTAACAGTACGGTGGACCTGGGCCATAGGTTCACCATCACTGGACTAGGCCCATCAGACAGGATGCCGTTTTCCTCCAAACTGATTCCCTGTTTGGGGGACGTTTTGAGCTCAGGCTTAGGAATGGGCTCGATGTTCGAGTCGAGCAAGAGTTCGACTCAAACATCGGCAGCTCGTGTGTTCTGCAGGCTGTTCGCCCGCTGTGCGCCCCAACACGGCACTGTGCACTGCATATAAGCCTTCAAAATGGGGACAATGGATTTTCAAAGTTCTAGCCCCATAGACTTGCATTGAGTTTGAATTTGAACTTTTTTTCCATGTTCTGAAGTTTGAACCGAACACAGGGGTGTTCGGCTCATCACTACTAAGGCTAATAACCCGTACCTGAAGTTCAGGGCCGGACAAATCCCAGGAGCCAGGTAGCCAATGCTCCTTAAAATTACAGCTAATGCCTAACTTTTGAAGTTTTCTCCAGTTGTCAATGGAGCTGGATCCTGGATTGGATAGACTGGCTACTGGATTCCATATTAATTTGTCTACCCCTGGGTTAGTAGATATCACCTATTTTGTTTTCCGCATGAGTCTCCTGCCAGTGAACATACAGAGAACTCTTTGGCTAAAATGCTGGGCTGTGGAACAAGTATGCAAAAAAGTTTACTGTACATGCCCTTTGAGGGACAGAATCTCTTTGGAGCTGCCTTAGACACCCTCATCAAATATTTCACTGGCAGGGCTGTAGCTACCATGGGGCGAGTGAGGCACGTGCCTCAGGCGCAGCTGAGAGGGGGCACAGCCAGGGCAGGCCTGGGTGTGCCCCATTGCCCCTGTTTTTATGGTGAGCAAAGGGCGCTATTTGCAACAGGGGCGCTGGGAGACCAACACAGCCACAGCTTGGCAGGGAGAAGGGGAGCGGCACAGGCTCAAGCTTCTCCACGGATGCCTACTGCTCTCCCCGCCTGTATGGGCAGAGGACTCTGTGTCCTCAATCTCTTTTTCTATTTCTAAAGGGAAATGTCAGGGGTGTCAGAAGCTCGCCAACAGTAACTCTCCCAAATAATAAAAAATTAATTAAAAGAAAAACAACACACACGCACACTCATGCACACATATTAATAGACATGTGCAAAGACTATAAATTAGTTTCGGACTAAATGAACGGAAACTAAAAATGTTCATTAGTTTCGTCAAACGAAACACATTTTTATGCTCTTGTGGATTTGGCCACCAGCACATTCTGTGCATGCGCGCTGCCATCCTGGAGGCGGGGCACATGACGTCGCATGCCGCACGCATCTGTTGGGGGAGGGGGGCACAATTTCTGTTCTTGCCACGGGCGCAAAAGGAGCTAGCTACGGCTCTGGTCACTGGGGTACAAGTACTCTTCTACCACAGCAGAAAAAGTCAAAACCTCAAGCAGGGAAGACTCCTCCCACATCTGAGACCAAGCAGTTCCTTATGTTACTCCCTGACTGCAACCTCCAAAGCCAGATCCAAGTATAGTATCTAGTTTATCCGCAAACTGTGGGC